CAACATTCTTTTTCTTGTTTTATTAGCATTAGTTCAACACCTCTAAAAAAACATAAATGAGAGAACAAAAGTGGTGATAAACTGAATAAATAAGTAATTTCATGAATTGAATTTCAGACAATTTCTTAACTTATTCCCCTTTATATTTAATTTAAGATAATATGTATTTGATGTTTTCTACTAAAGAGGATGTGTATTAATGTTTAATTTATGGTTTATTCTTTGATGCTAACCATAGTATTTTTAAAGAGAAATTAACTTTTTTTAAGTTTTGATTCTATTACATTAAATGCCAAAAACTAAATCCAATGCAGTAGGATAATAATATTTTAATATGGTATTATAATTTAATGTGTAATAGATTAAATAATGATAGTATCAGTAAATATTTACAATACTACATCAAATTCTAACTCCATCATTGTTTGTAATCTTATTATGGTTTATGTATTATTTGATTGATGACATTAGATTGAGTATTTCAACAAATGTTAATTCTCTTATTTGAATTAATTTCTATATTCTTTCTTAATATTATTTTTGAATTGAATCTACATTTCTTTTTTGAAATATTCATTATCATTAATAGATTCTTTCTTATATTTATTAGTTTGATACAATATATCAAATGCTGATTATTAACTACATTCTATCATTAATTTATAACCATATCACAAATAATGTTTTAATGCTTGGATTATTATTTTACCATTTTTATTTACTAATACCTAAAAAACCAATTTTATGAAATTCAAACGTTTCACTTATATCATTCTATACATTTTTAAAATACAAATCATATTTTTCTTGGTTCTGTTCTTGTTTAATGATTCACTGTGGCTAATTTTTTATATTGTTGTTGATTTTTCTTTTTTAAACTCTTTTGAAACACTTCTATTGTCTTTTTAGTTTACTTATATATTCTTTTTTATTTTAATATGTTTGGAACATTACTCATACACGTTGTGGTTTCTACTCCCTAATATTAATTCTGTAATAAATCAAGTCAATTTTAAAATGATAAAACAAAACCTTCAAAAAAAGAATTATGTTATTATTAAACTAATTTTAAACAAATTCTATGAAAAATATCTTATTTCAAGCTGGATTTAATATTTTCTTTTCCAATGAAAAAAATAGTGTAAGTAAGTAAATCAATAAAAAATCAATTCATTTTTGTT